GATATCTGGGGATATAAAAAAGTAAAAGTAAATCAGTCCTGGTTATCCTGTAGGTGTTTCCATGTCACCTTAAGGTAGGTAGCGTCTTCCCTAAAAGGAAATTCTCTAGTATTAGCAGATATATTTTCCTACAGAGACTACTTTCAAAAATAACAATGGGTCAAGTTACAAGATTGAGGAACATAATATATTACTCTTTTGTCAAGTTTTAAATAAGTTAAAGCAAATGAAGAATGGTCATATCTAACTCTTACCACTGTGCATCAAATTTGTTACATGCAAGGCTTCGCCTTATGTGTAGGCCTGTGGTCTTAATATTATTTTTAAAATCATTTACTTTCAACAGTTGCAACTAAGTTACTGTTTCTCCTTTTGCGAGTCAATCGTGAAATGGTCTGAGAAGTGCACAAGCCATTTTTAGATGCACCTGTGAGAGGTCTTGATGGGTATCAATTTATATCATTTCCAAAATTTCAGTAACTATTAAGCTTGTCTAACTACTGTAACCATAGATAAATGTGTACTCCTTTTATCTATGCTGTAACTGACTAGTAACGTTGCTGGATCACCTTTATAAGTGTGCGCTAAACATATTTTGGACGAGTGACATACGAGATTTTTCGCCGTACACACTACTCTAAAAACCCACAGTATATTTAATATTGTCAGTTACTGTTCTAATCGTCTGTTCAGTGTTCACAACATTTAAGAGGCTTAAGAGGAAGATTTCCTAAAATCCCCCACCACTTTTTTTAGAAGTGTTGCTCGGCTTTCCAATTCCAACACAATAAAATGAACACTGCCGACGGTTTACTACGCGCTAATATAACTCCAGTTGTAAGGAGCCTCCACTGTCCCCCAGTTTTAAAAACCTATTCGACGCAAAATTAACTGTATGTATGTTTTTTACCTCATTAAGTGGGATTTTAGAGGGACTCAGTGCGAATGCTTCGCGTGGGTCGGCTACTAAAATAGAAAAATGGAATTCGTGGCAAAACGTTATAACAAGCATTTTTTCAACTAGTTGTACGGTGGCTATTGGTGGAGTGGCTTGTCAGTTGCCTGTACCATCAATGGATGCCCGACACAGCTTAAACATTGTTTTACACGGGAACTTTCAGACGATGGCACAGGCCACTGCAGGCTGTCTAGGTCCTGCAGTAAAGGACAAAGTGACCGAGTAGTGTCTCCTCGCGCAACTACTAGCGGCAACCACCGGCAACCGCATAGTGCGGCAACTCGTCGCGGGGCATTTAATTAAATACTAGTGTACATGTTGCTCGAAATCGAGCAATTGCAAAGAAGTACAGGAGTTATTTATAAACAAATAACTTGTTTGAAAACTAACAACAGTAATAATTTCCGATGATTTTAAAAGAGTCAACCAAAAGATTATTAACTAATGGAAATACTCACAATTTACATAACACTCCTATTCCAGTTTAAAGGGTTAATTATTAACAATCAAACTGCCCATGGACGGGAAAAGGTAAGCTTACAATTTAAGTCAACATAAAAAGGCTGTCAGCTTTTATAAAGTACGATACCTAAGTTATTTAGCCAATTTGTAGACACTAAGGTGTAGGCTACTTTAAACTCTACAGGACAGAGTTAGGCTAAAACTGGCAGTACTCTGAAATGGTGTTATTTATGATAGGCTTACTCATATGCCAAATCCTTAAAATAAAAATTCAATAACTAATAAAATAACTTATATCATTGAACACAAACCAACATCCAAAACTATACACATTTTTAATACAACATAGATAATTTACACATTGACGGTTTACAATTAACATATGTTCTTCTTCTCGCTATTAATTTTTGCTTCGCAACGGGAAAAATCTGTTTCATAATCATTGAAATAGATTTATAATAAATAATCTATCATAAAGTTTAAGATTAAATAAACCTACCACATAGTTGTTTAATTTTTTTGGATCAGCTGTCTAAAATTGTGAAATAGGCATTTGACAGTTCTGGTTGTTTACATTTAAATGTCAAAAAGCAAATGTAAACATTGTGAATTTTCTCATGCTTCCATGGAGACCAATTTTTTATATTTAATTTCTGACAACAGCTGGAGTTTCAAAACAATTTTTGTTTCCCATGTTAATCTTATGGAGAAATAAGAAACTTTAAAGAGCCCCAGGGCCTCACTCTCTAATTATTTCCCTAAAAAGAAAGTTTCCTGCACAACTTCACGTTACGCTCTTTCCAATGACACCAAAAACATGTCAATCGGTTCAGTAGTTTCGGAGGAGTAATTGTCACAAAAATCCTGCTTGCGTATTAAATAAGTAATAGATGAGCCTTCAGACGAAGCCACTAGTGGCCGCGACCGTGGAACCGCACGCATATATTATTTTGAGGTAAACAGAGTCAGTTCACTTGCAGAAATAGACGCGGCACGTGCGAGTTGTGGATTGGTTTCGTGTTGAACTGCTTTTCTTGTGTTCAGATCACTGAGCAGAAGAAAAAAATAAATAGGGCGTTGCGGCAAAAGAAGAAGAACACAAAGGAAGAAGAACAGAATAAAAGACTGAACAAAATAATTGAAGACCAAATTAATACTGAGGAGATCTTATTTGCGAGATTGAAAAAGTACCTGGCAATTTGATTCACATATTTAAAAAGGGAGGTCTATGTTGATATATGTATATAGTGAAGTCCATGTTTAGAGGTATTACTCTTTGGTCTTTGTGTATTCTCTTTTAAGTGTATTTGATTTCCGATCCAGAATAAAAGATGTCGGCTCATTAACTGCAGCCTAAATGTAATTCTGTCGATGTTAATTACAATTTATAATAAATAGTATTGAAACCAATGGTTCCATGCAATCTTCAGAATTTTAATTTCGAGGGCAATTTAGCCGAAAATTGGAAGCACTGGTATCAGAAATTTGAGATTTATCTCTTGGCTTCTAACCTAAATTCTGAAAATGACGCTAGGAAGGTTGCTCTACTACTACATAATTTGGGTGACAAATGCATAGACATTTTCAATTCGTTCAACCTCTCATCCGAAGATGCAAAAAAGTATGACGTGGTGGTAAGTAAATTTGAAAACCATTTCTCGCCTAAGAAAAACCTCACGGTTCTGAGACATAAATTTCTAAATAGGAAACAGCTGCCATCTGAATCCATCGATAGTTTCTATACAGACTTAGTTAACTTGAGCCTCGCTTGTGAATTTGACTCTGTCCGCGAAAGTCTTGTTTGCGATGTCTTAATATCAGGGCTTAACTCTCAAAACCAGAATGTCAGGGAACGATTATTGAGAGAGCCGGAGATTAACTTGGAGAAGACTTTAGCAATTTGTAAAGCTGCTGAACTGTCTAAACAACACATCAGAGAACTTGAAGCAGAACATAATGTCCATACAGTAAACGTCCATAAGCAACGAGAGAGGGGTTACCAACAACCACAAACGTTCAGACAGAAACAGGTTCATCAGGACCAACGGAACAAATTTCATCCACCATCACAGCAGAAATCAACTGGGACAGGTAGGCCTAACAAAAGTACAAGTGCTAAGAAGTTTATTTCAAACTGCCGTAATTGTGGGAAAAATCACGGTATTAACAAGTGCTCTGCGTATGGCTTAGTGTGCTATAAGTGCGGTAAAAACAACCACTTTGCCAGTGTATGCAAATCAGCCAAAAAGGTTTGTGAAGTAGGCCTAAGTTTAGATTCTAATTCGAGTGATGTAGCTATAAGGCAAGGTAGGCAAGACAGTTCTTCTAAAAGTACTTGTGCACAAGAATATTTTTCAATTGATACGGTATCGCTCACGTCTGAATCTATATCTAATTACGTGATTGACAAAAACTTTTTATTCAGTAATATATGTTCAGTTAATGATTCTGTTCCTAAAAATTACATGTGTAAATCCAGGGCTAATGAATGGCTAGAGAATTTGAACATTAGGGAACACACAATATCATTTAAAATAGATACAGGTGCTCAGACAAATATCATCCCAATTGATTTGTTTAATAGGCTAGGCCTATCAAAGGCATTAATACGCACCTCAAATATAAATCTTAGTACACTAACTGGTGAAAAAATACCGGTACTAGGTATTGTAGATTTAGATTGCTCTTTCAACAGGAAAATGTTAAAGTTGTATTTTGGAAAGTTAAAATTTTCAATTTTGTAAAAGAGAGGGGATGTTGATATATGTATATAGTGAAGTCCATGTTTAGAGGTATTACTCTTTGGTCTTTGTGTATTCTCTTTTAAGTGTATTTGATTTCCGATCCAGAATAAAAGATGTCGGCTCATTAACTGCAGCCTAAATGTATTTCTGTCGATGTTAATTACAATTTATAATAAATAGTATTGAAACTTCAATTGTGTTTTTATTTAAAACATGAAACAGTCTATTGGACAATTTGGCACTCATTAGAAACCATTTTATCGGTGTCTACTGTCCGTGGGTTTCCTCCATTTAAAATACAACTTTTTTAGAGTCTTAAGAAAAAAAAACACATTTAAAACCATCAATATCGCCTGAACCGTTTATAGTAGATAGGTATTGTATTCGAAATTTAATGTAGATTATTTTTATAATTCATTATATTTTGAGGAAACAACGCATAGTTTTTTCGAGTTTTTGCAAAAATGTAAAAAAGTCCTATTTTCACTCCTTCCCCACAAACCCGATGATACTAAACCAGTGTAACTTTTTTTACATATTGAGGGAAGTGTATTCAACGATTTGCCGCTGGTTTGGAAGTTTTTCTCATGTCCCGGTTTGCTCTTTGTTTAAGCTAATTGCACTATACTAATTCAAATAATAAATTTCCTAACTAGCTTCCTGCTAACAAGTCCGTGGAAATTGTACTCATGAAGTAGTGTGGCTACATGGCTAGTTAAACCAAGCCAGCTTTACAAGCAAACTAGTAAAAAGAAGAAGAACCACTACACACTTACACTACTTCTAGTCTGTCTGTTCGGTCTCCTGTCAACATTTCCAATTTCTCATTATTCATTTTAGTGAATTTAGGTTATAAACAAAAGCTATAAAATGGACAGTAAAACGCTTGATTATTATGCTTCAGAAATAGGCAACTACGAAAGTTTGAAAAAGAAAGAAAATAAATGGATGAATAAATTGTTAGATGATTTGAACGCAAGAGATTGTAGATTATTAAGTCCTTTAGAAAGCAAGGTAGGCCTAACTTAGATAGTTTTAGATTTCGTGTAAAATCGTTTGGTTTATTGGTTCTGTAAGTGCGATGGGGGTAGACTTCCATATCTGTTGGCACAAACAACCGAATGAAAATATCGATTATTCGATTGTTTCATTCTGTATATTGTTTGGTTAGTTGGATTAGGTTAACCTTACCTAACTAACCAAATGATATATCGAATAATCGATACATCAATCGATATTTTCATTCGGTTGTTTGTGCCAAAAGATATGGAAGTCTACCCTGCGATGGATCTTTAGGTCTGAGATCAATGGCCGAGAGGTTCATCTGGCCAGGCACAGTCAGTACTGTAGTACCAAACCATCTCAGATTCAACATTCAAATTTCATCTCAATTAGGTTGGGGGGATACACTTCCATATCTGTTGGCACAAACAACCGAATGAGTAATATTGATTATTCGATTGTTTAAATACGATATATCGTTTGGTTAGTTAACTTAGGTTAGGTTAACCTTACCGAACTAACCAAATGATATCCTATCGATCGATATTTTCATTCAGTTGTTTGTGCCAACAGATATGGAAGTGTACCCCTTAGGTAACTTAGGCATATGAGTATTAAAATTATATAGTCCGGTCATATCACTAGTTACACATAGAGTTACAGTAAGATGACATTTCGTATTCCTATTCCTGATACCACTTGGTCAATGACAACAGGCCTAAATCTCTTATTCTTATACCATCGAAACCCCGCTTTAGCTAAGCCTTTCTGTCTCCCTTACTCTCCTTTGTTTTTATAATAAGTTCAGAATAAGTTAACTCAGGTTCTCCATATAGGCCTATTTAAGTTAAGACAGTGCAAAATTGTCATCATGTTATCCAATGTCATAACTTAGAATTGAACGTTTCACAAAACGCGATAGAGCGTACAGTAACTAACTATTTTCCTTTGCAGTGTTACTGCCTCCTATAGCAAAAACTATGCAACACAGCATAAAATTGGAACTGTGAACTTAAGTTGGGGAAGTAAAGATTACAGTGTTCTGATATTTCTGAGCTTGCTTCGTCATTAGTAAGATATTAATAATAAAAATCCATGATTTGTTCATAAGAGATGTTTTTTTTTTTGTTTCAGAAAATTTCTTTCATTTTAAATCAGTGCTGCTCACTTATTTTACCCAGTGAGACATTCTTAGTGGCCAAGTGCTGCCAGTTGTTGTTGACTGTGGTTGGCAGGCAAGCTATTCAGCCTGAGAAGTCCCTGTTAAGTATAGCTGTGCCTTGGTGTCTGCAAGCGCTTCAAGAGAGTGCTGACATAGCATTGTTAGATATATTACAAGCTCTAGAGGCTATTATACGTTTATGCCCAAAAGATTTAAGCGAGGTATGTAAGTATGTCTAGGCTATAGCAAGGCAACACTAAATAAACAGGCCGTAATACTCCTCAGCGATTACGTCAACATAGACGACGGCAATGATGTAATGTTTTTTTTTATTTATATATTTTTTCCAATAAAATATTAAAACAAGCAGCTGATCGCAAACGGGAAACATTACGTCATTACCGTCTCCTACGATGACATTATGCCAGTGGAGCATTACGGCTTGTTTATCTATTGTTGCCTTGGCTATAGCCTAATTATTCTCCATAGTGCATTATTTACATTTTCATACAAGTTTTTGTTAAACTTACACTTTTTGTTTGTAAACTATTATAAGCTTCATTTTCAAGGATACTTCCTAGTTGCTCATGATAAAATTTGCATATATGGCCTTGTTACCTCTGATTTTATTGGTCAACATTGGAGACTGTTGTATTAAATTTTGGAAAAAAGCATAACAATTTTTTTGGGAGGTTAAACTTAGCCTATGTACTGATACCGGGGTCCCGAGGATCTTGGTTCAAAGTTTAAATATTGAGTTATTTAAACGTTGGTTTAGGCTATGTTTTTGTATTATAAACTGTTTTATTTATAGTTGTCTTCATTACATATTTTTCATAATTTAATTATTGCCCTCACCACTTGCATACGTTGAAGAATATTTTTAACAGAATTCATTGGTAATCCAATTTAGCATCACTGAGCAACACTACTAGAGTAACAAAGGTATATTGAATAACACCTCGGATACCAGCGGCACGATGATCATAATCTTACGAATCATTAGACACTGTACCCTCTTATATTAGTTTGGATGAAGTCCCAAACACCCTATATTTGTTGCATTAAGTTAGAGCCTGACTCAGCCCGCTGTAATTGGTAGAATGTTTCCATGCGGTTTATATGGGAGTTTGAACTCACTGAGCTTCCGTGTTTTACCTACCTTCTTCAAAAATATCAACCGTCCTAAAAACGTTGACATACACCCTAGCTTACGTTTGTGTATACATTCAAATTTAGGAATAAAAATCATATTTATTAATTATTCTTATTTTTACTTTTGTCTTGCAAATGGAAGGACTCCGTCCCAGAGAACGTATGAACTGTTATTAGTTTTTGTATTTTTTCTTCTTAAATCTAAAAACACTATTTTTTATGCTTTCACGTACAATTTTTTTAAATACACAAACTGATGTCACCACTAGGCCTACAATATGTAGGACCTCATGTTATATGAAACCTAAGTAGACTTTAAACATCGATAAGGTATATCACTTTATTCTGTTGGTTGGTCAGATGGCTGGGGATATTATTGAGAGTCTCAGAATCCCGCTGGAATCCAAAGTGAGTCTGACAGCTCCGTTGGATGTTCGGGTTTGGCGAATCCAGTGTCTATGTGCCTTGGCTCCAATAGTTTCTGACTCCTCTTCCGTCAGACCCAACTCTTACCTCAGTCTGCTTTATGATTTACTAGAGAAGCGACCCAACCTGGAATGTGACGCTGATGCTCAGGTATAGTTGGAGTTGAATTATTTAATTTAGGCTTTTGTAACGAATACAGTTAGGCTCTTGCAAATCTGGTGACTGGTCATTGAACATACCAAATTACTGAATGCCTTCTATGGGTATAAACAATTTTTATTGCAATCCTGCTGATTATTAAATATCAAAAGGGTGTCAAAAGGAAATTGTTGGCAGAAGGGCCATTTTTTTGTTTAATTCTTTTCTCTTAAGTTGTATAAAGTCCTTATCTATTTAAACTCCTCCAAGTGTAACCAAAGTCTGCCGACTGCTCAAGACTACTAAAAATGCTATAAACACTTAATCAGCATAAACAAATTTAAAGGCCTGTAGACTTATTCCAGATTATTGAAAGTGCCTTACCGTCAGATGCCATTAGTGGGCTTTTACTATGTGAGCTGGTCGGGCTGAAACCAAAAGTTAAAAACACCTTCCTTTTACGGATTCCTCCTTTTACGGAAAAGGCTTTTTCTTTTATATGTAATCAATTATGGGTACCGGTAGGCCAGGTTTTGCAGTAGGTACTAGTTGTTTTTCACCAAATTTATAGGCCTAAACATTGTTTTTCTAACTCCACTGATATGATGAATCAAAAATGGCATAAAATGTAAACAATATAAAATCAAATCAAATAAAGTCCAACAGTGAACGATTTCCACTTAAGCCTGTGACATATTTTGATCCCAAAAAATCTTACACTCTCTACGTGATTGGGCCTACACTCTATGAAGGTTTACACGTTTCAACCCAACTTTTGATCTGTCAGCCTATATAGAGGACATACTTTTGAGGCTACCATAAGTGATATTGAACCTTGAACCTATAAAAAGCTATTTAAGAAAGCACCACTTTGTACTAGGTTTATTAACCTTGTCAAAACACCAAACATGTTGTACTCCTGAATAAAGATTATATGACTATGACTATGACTATGACTAAATGTTTGAAGTTAAACACCTTTCAGTTAAGATAAAATTTATAAAAAATCTATGCCTAGGGTAGGCTTGCTGGATAATTTATTCCCTTTTTAGACTCTTTTTGCAGACCCCTCCTTGAGTTTACCATTGTACATTTAAGTTTTTCTTTTATTTGTCTATATATTGTTGTAGGTACCTATAAAAACATTTTTACCTCCTCCCCCTAATCATAGTATATGGAGAAAGTATTAATTTTTGTTAAAAGTCAAAAATGGAAAGAGAAATAGACTAGATAATGAGCAGAAAATAATTTAATTATTCACAAAAGAAAAGTTACTCAATCATAGTAAAATGCTACCAAAACCATATTTCTGTAATCACAACATAACAATTCATTAAAAATCATATGTGTCAAAATTATAAAAGTTCATATTTTCATAGCAGCTGGAAAAGACAATACAAAATATAAACCATAGATTATTTAAATCAAATGTTTCTATACTATATCCAACATTCTCCCACCTTTTGAGCCTTTTTCTCCCACTTGTAAAGTCAAAATATTAATTATCACTTCAGGTATCTTCGTGGGGGTATAATTTTTCTTCCTCTTTGTGTGTAAACAGGTTGATCATGTTCACGACCAACACCTTCAGCTACTTGTTCGTCTTCCATTTCGAATGTTTCATTACCATCTTGATTGTCTTTCTGCTGGACCAATTCAAGTGGAAACACATGTTGTATGGGTCTCAGCACTGTTCCTTTTGATGTTTTCATTTCCACAAGACGTATGTTGCCATCTTTTCCAGGAAGTATCTTCTCAATCTTCGCCAAAGGCCAGTCCATCCGTTTGGTATTGTCGCTTCCAAGTAAAACAATTTCTCCAACTTGTACTTGACGAGATTTCTTCTTCTTCGAATGCAACACCAATTGACTTAAGTATTCACTTCTAAATCTTTTTTCAAGATCTTCTTTTAATTTTAATTTAAAGTTCCAACGTCGAGACCAATTTGTGTAGTTGATCTGGTCCAAATCAATAACTCCATACTCCTTCGTACCATTCAAAAACATAGCTGGCGTCAAAACTTCCATGTCATGGCTGTCTTCTGAAATGTAAGTCAAGGGTCTACTATTTATGACAGATTCACAACTGCACAAAACGGTCAAAAATTCTTCATAAGTCAAACTAGCTCTTCCTAAGACTCTGCGAAGAAGCTGTTTCAATAGTCTTATGAGTCTTTCCCACCAGCCTCCCCACCATGGTGAAGCAGGTGGGTTGAATTTCCATTTTATACGTTTGATTGTGCTGTACTCAACAATCTTATTCCAATCTATTTGCTTCAACGCACTGAAAGCTCCTCGGAAGTTAGTGACGTTGTCCGCAAACAAGACTGTTGGTCGACCCCGTCTGGAAATGAATCTTCTCAAACTTTGCAAGAATGACTCAGTCGATAATGAAGTAACTAACTCCAAATGCACGGCACGGTATACTGCACATGTATATAATGTAATCCAAGCTTTTTGGCCATCTCGAAGGAAAACAGGTCCAGCTAAGTCAACTCCACAGACTTCAAAAACAGAAGCATCTCGAACCCGTTGCGAAGGAAGTGGTACTGGATCAGTATCCAAACTTTTAACACAATATCGCTTGCATTTGACACATTTGTCAATAACTGATTTTACAGTTCTTCTCCCACTAATGATCCAAACTTCTTCTCTGAGAATAGATAACAATCCTTGGACTCCAACATGTGAATTTTCTTCATGTTTGTATTGTATGTATCTGTGAACAACAGGATGGTTACTCGGCAATACGATTGGAAGATTAAAATTTCTACTATCAGGTCTCTCTGTGATTTTTGTTTTTAACCTTAATAAGCCATCACTGTCTTCAAACGGACACAATGAGCTCAATTTTTCATCCTTGATACTATGGAAAGCATCTTTCTGAATAAGTTTAAACACTTTATTTTGAGCCTTAATCAATTCATCAACCGACAATCCTCCTGATATCTTTTGTTTAGACATATTTGTGTTACCACAAAATCTCAAAATCCAGCCTACCAACCTGACGATTTTATCAAATCTGGAGAAATATCTATAATACCAAAAATCTGGTTCAGGTTTTGAATTAATCAGAATCTTTGTAGTTGATTTGGTCTTCCTAAGTTCAGAATTTACTTCTTTCTCATCACAATCATCACTGAAGTTTTGGTTAGGCCACAAGTTTGATGAGTTTCTTAGCCATTGTGGTCCCTCCCACCATTTCGACTCTACTAGCTGCTTAGGAGAACATCCACGTGACGGCAAATCAGCTGGATTCATATGGCCTGGAACATGATTCCAAGATTCAATGTTACTTAGGGATCTTATTTCCTTTACTCGGTTCCAAACAAACACTCCCCAGTAATCTTCTCGACGAATCCATGACAAAACGGTGGTTGAGTCGGTCCAATAAAATGTTTTGACATTTTCAAATCCCAAACTCTTTAAGACGTTGTCAGTTAGACGAGCGCCAATGGTAGCCGCCAGTAACTCCAGCCGAGGAATGGTCATCTTCTTGACAGGTGCAACTCTACTCTTCGCTTGAACTAATTGAACTGTGACAAGTCCATTAGATTCACCCCTCAGGAAAACCGCGGCCGCATAAGCGTCCTGGCTTGCATCACAAAAACAGTGAACTGTCCAAGAAATATTCCCTCCGATTTCATTTCCAAAATATCTTGGAATTTTCAAATTTGAAAAAATCTCAAGTTGCTTTGCCCAATCTAAAAACAAAAGTGTTATCTCTTCTGAAACCTTGTCATCCCATCCAATTTTACTTTCCCATGTTTTCTGCAGCAATATCTTAGGCAAGAGTGTAGCAGGACAAGTTATACCTATGGGGTCAAACAACTTGTGAGCAAAAGACAAAATAGATCTCTTTGTGACTATTTCAGTTTCTTTAAACGCAAAGTTTTCAAAATTCAACTCAATCATGTCAGTATTTTTGTTCCAATTTAAACCTAAGATAGGTGTCAAGGAAGAATCATTTTTGAAACTCTGAATTTCTGTGTACTCCCAACTCTGAAGACAGAATCTAGCATCTTTCATTACAGAAGTCGCTTGATCTACAAATTGATTCAAATCTGAAAAGTCATCAAAACTTGCCATACAATTATCTACATAGAAACTTCTCGTCAGCGTCTCTACTACTTTTCTTGAGTAGTTTAACGATCCAGAATCTATCAAGTCTAATGTTTTTTTCTAAATGAAGTTTTATTACTGCACTTAGCATAAGTGGGCTACAGGTAACTCCAAAGACCACTCTAGCGTGTCTGTAAACAACCAATTGACCATCTTCATTAATCCACAAAAAACGAAGAAAATCTCTATCGTCCCTATGTACACCAATCTGTAGAAAAGCCTTCTCGATGTCAGCAACAACTCCATATCTGTGTAGTCTAAAACGATTTAATATGGACGGAATCAATTCAATTAGATTGTCCCCCTTTTCTAGACAATCGTTCAACGAGGGCTGATTCTTTTCTTTAGCGGATGCATCAAATACAGGTCTCAATTTTGTGGTAAGACTGTTTTCTTTTATCACATGTCGATGCGGTAGGTAGTGACCAATTTCCAAATCGGCATCGTTAACCTTCTCTATGATACCTAATTCCTCCCAGTCAGACAACACCTGTTGATATGAACTAAGATATCCACTAGAATTAAGTTTATTTGTAAGATTACTGAGTCTCTTCTGTGCTACTTTTAAATTAGTAGGTAACGGCGGGTGATCTTCAACCCATGGCAATTTGACCTGATATCTGCCATAATTTTCCACTGAAACAGATTCTACAAAATGTTCCATTGTTCTACTTGTAACTGAAGATTCACTCTTGACCTCCACTGGATCCTTGATTCCTAAAACATCCAAACTCCACAAATCTGAAATGGATTTATTATCAATAGGGGAAAGTAAAGAAGTTACTGCCATAGAACTGGACCTGTCATTCCCTTCAACTGTAGTTCTTCCCATTAAAGTCCACCCCAACAAAGTGTGCATCGCAACTAACCCGTTGGAAAGCAGATATCGTT